AGCCTCAGCAGATGGCGCCGCCACCGCACCGGCCCCAGCAGATGGCGCCGCCACCACACCAGCCTCAGCAGATGGCGCCGCCACCGCACCGGCCCCAGCAGATGGCGCCGCCACCGCACCGGCCCCAGCAGATGGCGCCGGCGTCGTCGCGCTACCCGGCGTACTCGCACCACGTCTCGCAGCTGCAGCTTGGCGTTGCGCCCCCGCCGGCGGCAAGCGAGGTCGCCGACTACGCCGGCGCCCCCATGCGGGGCAGCGTGACGGCGGCGCCGCCTGTGCAGCAGTTCACGGACGATGCGAGATTGCGGCGTCTTCATCCGTCGGGCACGCTAGCGTCTGGGGCGTCGCCGACGGCCGCCATCCCGCGCGCACACAGCTCCGAGGACATACCACAGTACGTAGTGTTATAGCGAGACGTGGGGTTATTATAATGCAGTATGGGGGGGGAGGGGTATTCTACAGTACATAGTGTTATAGTGCAGTGCGTGGGTTTATGACACACCATATGTGTCATTGTGTATTGTGTGGAGTCATAATGTTGGTAATTGAGTATCTGGGGTTGCTATACTATACTATACTATACTATACTATACTATACTACACTACACTACACTACACCGCACCGCACCGCACCGCACCGCACCGCACCGCACCGCACCGCACCGCACCGCACCGCACCACACCACACTATGTGCTACGTTACGCTACTGCGGTTGGCTAACGCGCTTGTGTTCGGCCGACGTTTTCAGGTCGTATAACAGAGGGCAGCACCAGTTCATGGATCCCCAGAAGCAGCTAGAGCTGGAGCAGAAGAAGCGCAAGCAGGCCGAACTGCAGGTACGCAGCGACGACGGCGGCGGCGGCGGCGATGCAAAATGACGCGAGCGCGCGCGAAAAATCCGCTCCCCTAAGCCACCTACGCGAATTACCCCCGTGTGTAGCGTGGCGGAGGTGGTGAGCGTTACACGGCACGTGCGCATAGCCTAGTCTCTAGCAAGGAGCAGCTAAATATAACAAGGAGAGGAAGCGGAGATTGGCTGTGCGCTTTTCGCTTCAAGGGCGCCATCTATGGACCATAATCAGCTGAAACGGCTGTGCAGACCGAACCCAGAGACTATCTATTCAACGCTATCTGTTCTAGGGTCTCTGCCGAACCCAAATTTGGGCCAGATATGGCGGCGCTTCCTCTCCTTGTTATATTTAGCTCCTTGGTCTCTAGTCGTGCGAGCATCCACGTTGATCGATAGTCGCAGGCCGATTATGTCAGGAATCGAGAGGTTGTGTGTATGATCGAGAGCTAATAGTATCTCTCGTTATGAGTATAGATACAGAGACTCCCCTGACTTACGAACAGGTTCGGTTCCGAGCGGCCGTAAGTCCAACATATGTACGTATACAGTATTGGGGGGTATAGTAATCACAAACTAGAGCACTCGGAGAGCACAGACCTTCGCCAAGGCAGCTGAATTCTCTCAATGTGGAATTTTTAATTAATTAATTAATTAATTAAGTGGAAAAATTTATTACTTAATTAATTAAATAATTAATTGGATCCGGATTAGTGCGAGCGTGCAGGTGGGGGAGGACTGTGGTTGCCCCTTAGCCTGTGTTTGCGTGTTTGTAAGTCTACAGCCAGCGCACCTAGCGGAAGTGAACTGAAACGTGCATGTTCACAAACAAACCAACCAACACTCAAACACTCGCCGGTGAAAACATAACCTCCGCCACGCCCCTGGCGGAGGTAATAACACTGTCGTCAAGCAACATCGTCGTTTCCCGTGCTACATTGCCGCCACCTACAACTAAACCTTACGCCTACATTTTCGACTTCTGGGCAAATGGTTCGTATCATCGAAAGTTCGTAACACGAATGTTCGTATGTAGGGGAGTCTCTGTACCTCGTGTTATAGGGGAATGTTCGTATGTAGGGGAGTCTCTGTACCTCGTGTTATAGGGGAATGTTCGTATGTAGGGGAGTCTCTGTACCTCGTGTTATAGGTTACTTATGATTAGCTCTTCGTAATTAGATGCGTATCTCTCGGGGAGGGGGGCAGAACAATACGGACTAATCTTAGAATGGCGGCGGCGACTCTCTTCTCTTCGTGCGACGTTTACCGGCCTTCCCGGATTCCGCTTCGCCCACGAGGCGAGTGGACGACGAGAGCTGTGGCTTAGGCCACGTCGTCGCCGTGGCGACCGAATCTCACGTCTCATTTTTCGCTTGCAGCACGCGATTCAGGAGCAGATTGAGGAGCGGAGGCTGCGCCGCACGTCGCCCGACAGCAGCCCGCGCCACTCGCAGCGAGGCCAGGTGGCGCCGGCGTCGACCGTGCCGCCGCACAACTCTAGTCGCGTCTACTTCGCTGGGACAATACCAGAGGGCGCCGGCGGCGCGACGGTTGCGATTGAACACGACCGTCGTGGCGGACACATGAACGGGCACAGCCACCAGGGCGGACAGGCGGCGCCACCATTGCGCTACGCAGATAATCGCGGCAACGTAAGAGATTGCGGTAGCTTCTCTGATGGTTGCCCCGGCAACTCTTCCAACGGCAACTGTGACAACTTCTCTTACGGTGGCTCCGGCAACATTTCTGATGGTGGTCCCGGCAACTTCTCTGATGGTGGCCGTGGCAACTTCTCTGATGGTGGCCGTGGCAACTTCTCTGATGGTGGCCGTGGCAATGCATCCGACAGCAACTACTCGGAGACCAGCCACAGCAATTTCTCGGGTCAAGGTCATCATGCATCGTCGAACAGCCAGCGCTCGTTTGATAGCCGCTCATCGCAGATTACGGAGGGGTCGCAGCCGGGTCAAGTTCACCAAGCCTCAACCAACAACCAGCGCTCGTACAACAGCCACTCATCGCAGAATTCGCAGGGGTCGCAGCCGGGTCAAGGTCACCAAGCCTCAACCAACAACCAGCGCTCGTACAACAGCCACTCATCGCAGAATTCGCAGGGGTCGCAGCCGGGTCAAGGTCACCAAGCCTCAACCAACAACCAGCGCTCGTACAACAGCCACTCATCGCAGAATTCGCAGGGGTCGCAGCCGGGTCAAGGTCACCAAGCCTCAACCAACAACCAGCGCTCGTACAACAGCCACTCATCGCAGAATTCGCAGGGGTCGCAGCCGGGTCAAGGTCACCAAGCCTCAACCAACAGCCAGCGCTCGTACAACAGCCACTCATCGCAGAATTCGCAGGGGTCGCAGCCGGGTCAAGGTCACCAAGCCTCAACCAACAGCCAGCGCTCGTAC